AACCATTCCGTGATTCTATGAATACCCCTCTGCTGAAGCCTCACACAATTCCAACACTGCAATCACGAATACAAGTGATGTGCATCTCCAAGAATAGTGAAAGCCATACCACAACACTTAATCTCCTACATACCCCATTCTTTCAAACAGCCTTATCCCAAACAACCAGTTCCATGATTTCTCACCTGCATTTCCACCCTAAAACATCAAACTGCATTATATATGCATCACATACATCCAAAACTTGAAAACCCTATGTATAAAGGGTATTCTTGTCCCCCACCTAAGCTGCAGTTCCTATAAACAAAATTAAGAAATCCCTCCAATTCAGTCTTTATGTTATGATTGTGCTAAGGCAGACCACCACCTTCTCTCAGACCATCTCCTGAAGTAAGGCTAGGCACCTGACACAATCCTAACTGTGCAATAAAGTTCTACAGGTGAAGTACATGAGTTTGCTCTGATACCCTTACTGCGCTCAGCAAGCGTGCTCTTAAGTGTTTTAAATGTCATGTGAGACATGGCTGCAAACGGTTTAGTAAATCCGATACTACCTACATTCAGTTATTATGAAACACTGACATTTTGAAATATTGACAGCTACCATGTTGACTGCATTTATTTTGTGTTACCTCACCTACTACTACTTCGACACAAACCTTCCGAGGAATGGACTGTTCTCTTGTCAGTCAGTATTTGCAATAATTACATCTTTTTTCATCTCAGCTTTCAAAAACCCTATTCAGTAAACATATAAAAAGAGATCTGAAACTGGATGAAAATCTAATACTGATTAAATAGTTAACGTTCTACTGTGATCAAACAGAAAGTATTTATATATGAAATAGGCTTTTCTCCCAAATTCACACTTTCTCCATGTCTTAGTATCACCGCGACTGATGTGCTTCTTAGTAAGACAAGGCTACCATTGGACCCTCTTGAATGAGATGGTTCTAAGAATCAATCTAAGTATCCCATAGTAAAAACCAAGAGCTTAGCCTTAATGGCCCCTTCTGTACGTAAAAAATCATGGCTTCATATGACTAAGTAGCAAATTTCTCAATTGTGAGGAAGGTCAAGGTGAAAAATGGTATATTTGTCTCAAAAACTGAGATGAAAGTTGAAAAAAAAAGCTTTATTCCTGTATTTTATTTTAATATATAATTGAAACAAATCTCCTGAAATTATTAGGAACAGAACCAATAGGAAAACAAGCTGTACAAAACATAATAATCTTGAATTATAAGAAGACAGGTAAATACTAACCTGTGAGTTTGCCAAGAGTCCTCAATTAACAGGATTTGCAGAAGTAGATCCAGATAAGGTCGAAGCTCATATGTATATGAATATGCAACCTTAAAAAAACAAAAGTGCAGGGAACGTAAGAAAGCATTCCTTGAAGCACGCAGATTACATGGTGCAACACAAAGACACAATTCATTTGAAGAGAAGTTTATCATAATTTAAAGGATATTTCAAGATATAATGAGTTTATTTTTTTAAAATGCTGATTGTGGCAGGTTTTTTGGGGACTGTGGCTTTGTTGGGTCCTTCTGTCTGCACGTTTTTAATATATCAGGTTTTACAAAGGACAAAACGCTTCCTTGTGAGTTTCTAACACAACTGATCTGAAGTCCCAAGCATGAGATGCTGAAGAAGCTACATGAAAAAATACCTTTAGAAATTACAGAACTGTATTTCACTGATATTGCTATTTTTAGACAGTACATCCAAAGGTTATATTCAGAGGTTATCCTAAAATGTGGACATCGATAGCAAAATACCAGTAAAATGAATTTTATTACGAATTTTTTCAAGTGCCAAACAAAAGGACACAGAAAAATCAATGATTACATGGAAAAAAAACGTGTGAATGTAAAGATGAGCTAACAGAAGTAAAAAATTTTCCTTGGAATGGAAAAGTGTGACCAGTCTTACAGAGATTACAAAGGAAAAACAAGACAGTCCCACAGATTCTTTCCTGAGTCTGAAGCCAAATATGTTCTGCAGACTTGTAAAACAGAACCGGACAAACCTACTCAAGATAAATACAAGGGAGATCTTGGAAATTATTTTAACTTTCCACACAATGTAAGAAGCTCGTTTATGGATAATGACAGAAAAGCTGAAGGAAATTCTCTTGCAATACATAAAGACCCCATGAGTCTACTTATTTTCACATCCTCAACATAGCGTTCCTAGCTCACAAAAGGTCAATTGCTTTCCTAAACTCATAAAAGGACTTCTCATAGTACTCCAACATGTAGAGAAGACCGAAGAGTGTAAATAACGTCAGAGAACGTCATCTTGAGGGAAGTTTATTTATCAAGTATCTGTTCAGTATTTAATACAATACTCCTATCTATAAATAAAAAATCTTGCATCATACACATCTGTATTCTCATCTTCCTCCTAGCTTTTTATTTTTACCTGCCAAAGAAGTTCGCTGAGGACAGTGGAAGAGAACTGAGGATTCTCCCAACAGCAGAAACGAAGCAACTTGATGGTCTCTTCAGAGTTGCTGCAATCTTCAATAATTTTCTTCACATAGCTAGTTCTCACGAACAAAATGTCTGCTACGTTCTGCTGAAGCGCCATTATAGGTTGAGATAAATTAGGATCACCGTAAGGGTTGGCAAGTGGGGGATTACCTAGAACAAACAGTTATTACAGGTGAAAAGGTACTGAAGTACTTTCAGTGTACAAACAACAAAGTACAAATTGGTGTAACTCATCAAAAAACAATGGATGGAGGAAACACCCAACGCCTTCCTAACAGTTATTTTCTTTGAAAAACACCATGGTCTGAAATAAGCAAGTTTTCTGATTGTGGAGCTTGACACTTGCTCCCTGAGAGAGCTACTCCTCCCTCTCAGGTGAGATTATGCAGTGACAATCAAAGCAGAGCTGCTGCAGACATGTTCATATGCAAAAAGAGAAACTACTGGAAGTTTCCTCAGTGAAATCCTCTGATCTCCTGAACTTATCTGCTTCACCACTGGTGTAACAGCCCAAATTATCGTATTTTAGGACACACAATCTATTTACTTCACTAGGCAATGGGAAAGGGTTCAGAGGAATATCGGCATCGAACAGTCCCGCCTGAATCTTTAGAGTATAGAGAGAAGCAATACACTCCTGAAAGAATAAAAATTAATGTATCTTATTTAGTAAGCTACATTTTGTGTAAGGAAAGACTGTTGATTTGCTCCTGATGTTTCTCAATTTAGCAATGTTTTTAGGTACTGTTTGAAGATGCCCAGAAATCCAAGGGAGAATTTCTCTAGCTTAACCATGCTGAAGCAAAAAATAACTTTACTCTGCAAATAGTAATCATAATTAGCAGTCAGGGTAATGTTCATACAGAGCAGATCTGTTTTATTACAACATTATGAATACAGTGAATATACAATTATTTTTCATAGGTAGAGCATCTTTTCGGTGTAAACCTCACATAACACGCTGGGAACAAAACCAAATCAAACCTGCCAAATGGTTTTGAAGCTTATTATAGCACAGTAACATTTTCAGTTCATTAATCTTACTATAGCACATTCTAGCCTATTGACTTTATAGCCTGACACATCAAGCGGTAATGAGTTTGCCATTAAATAGCTTCTCTACAGATTCCTAATTAGGTTTTCTAAAATATGCTTAATAGAAGATGTACGTATACAGGCTATAAAGTCCACGTAGCCCAGCAGTCTGTCACCATTTCTCAGAAATAACTGCGCTCCATTCAACTACTGGAGATTTTAGTGATTTATACAGTGGTCGACCAATTTCAAGCTGATTCTTTATCTTTTATAAATACAAGTGCTGGCTTCTGTTTGTCTTCTTGACTGCAAACAAGCACCAAATAATTTTCAAGAGCTACCCACAACCCTGCAAGATCTCTTTACTGATAAGCAGTATAAGCTATTTCGGAGTGTGCTGCAGTGCTTCCGTGTGCAGCTCTCCTTTTGCACCCGTAACGCTGAAGTCATCTATTATTTTATTGCCTACTCAGAGTTAAAAGATCTTTATGCAACTCTTTACAATGAGCTTAAACTATGAAAAAATCATTACTATTTTGCAATCAACAAACTACTACACTACTCAGTTGTTTTCCTGTATCTTTAAGGAATAAGCCAGGAAGCCTAAAATACAGAACAAATTTCCATCTTGCGCTTTTTTAGGTACAGCACATCAGTTTTGCTTAAGACAAAGATTTCTCTCTTTAAACAAAAGACATTGCTAAACACAAAAGGCAAACATTTTTCCAGATAATCCATTTTACACATAATAGCTAAACATGCACAGGAGACAGTTACAGACATATTCAGTTAACCTAAGGAAAAGTTTACTCTACCATTGATAGAAGACTGCATCCGCGATGACACATTGCAACAACGGATCAGTTGTGACACAACAGTGTATAGCTTCCCCAGTTCAGCATACTGGTATTTAATTGGAGGGCCTGGACCTTCATCGAGAGCCACAAGCATGAAGGTTGCAGGAACATTTAGTTTCAGAAGTTGTGTCTTCTCTGCTACACCTTTACGGCGGAGGGAAGAAACAAAAGAAAAAATCCAAGAGATAGATCATCTTGGCACTGAGAGGATTTTTTTAAAAAGAAAAATAACTATTGTTTACGTGATTCGTGACTTCTCGGTTGCTGGGTTTTATTATAACCATCATTTATGCTTTCTGGGGGGGGAAAAAATCAAATCAGTAAAGATGCACAAGAAAATTATGTTCAGCTGAAAAATCACATCAAAGGAGAGTTGTAAATGACTACAATTTCTCAACAGTGCTCATTAGCACTTAAGCAACTAGCATCTGTGTTAACAGCAAAGCCTCGGAGAAGTCTTCTGGACAAAGAATTAATCTTTTTAATGAGAGGCCCAGGATAGGATGAACACCCCTCACAGTACATTTCGTTATTTTTCCATCATGTCCTAGATACATCAATTACAAATGTAAGACATTTCCAACTGTGCCAAACTATGCAGGAAGTGTAAAGAAGAGTGACAAAATCAATTTAAGAGCAAAACACAACAGAATGAGAAAACCTCAGAAACCCCAATCAACCAAAACATCCAAATGTGCAGCCAGCTTCACTGCAAGAGCACCCTGCACACGCTACACAAGTACGTACCTCTAAATTCAATACCTCCCTTCTGAACTTGTAACCTGTTTCTCAGTTTGGTTAAAAGTCATGACTTTTCTTACATTTCCAAGTTTCTTCTTATTCTGAAATACAACTGGACCTTACCTACCATCTTTCTGATAAGAATAATCCATTTGAAAGCACCTTATTAGAGCTCTTCTAGAATATGTTTGATTAGACAGTTTCACAGTTATATCCCTTTGTAGAACTGATCTCCTGCTTGCTTTGGTGTGAACAATGTATTATCTGATTTCCCAAACTGTCAGACAATTTAATCTTTTCCACAGAACTCGGGGCATCGCAGGAATGACGTATTGTGGCATTTGCTGGCTGAACACTCTACATCCACGCAGAAGCCTATTACCTTAACAGTAGTAAGACAAGCACAACGTCCTAATATTTCCATGTTTAACTTTGCTGGGTAGATTGTGGTAACAATCAGGCCCAGAAATAAAATTCATTTATGCTTCCCCGTCTGGCTTCCGAGTGCTTTCCTAGTAAGAGACTTCAACTGCACTGACTATGAAAAGCTAGTAAAGAAGAAAAGGTAAGTCAGAGCAGAGTAAATGCATCTCCCTCCTCTGTAATGACATTAAGTCCACTCTGGGAGTCATGACAGAACCATGCCTGAGAGAGAAGGCTTGAGTAGACAGAGTATATGAAAGCAACAAACGTCCTAGGTGAGATTCAATTAACACAATGGCCAAGATTAATTTTAGAGATAGGAAATTGTTTCTTTCATGGGGGTAGTCAGTTTTAAAGAGCTTCCAGAACTCTGTGTATGCACATCACTTATATGTGGAAATACTGAAATAACTCCATTTGGACTGACAGACTTGCTTAACACTTCAGCTACAAAGTATTCTAACACTTTCTAAGTTGCCTGCATGAACTGATATCCAGCAACGGCTGAGCTGCTCAGTATTATGGGTGTTTTGTAAAATTTCCAAGGGAAGGGGATTTCCTAGCTTCATATTACTTTACATAAAAGGATGAAAATATCTTGTATTAGAATAAGAGGGAGAGTGTAATAGACTATCCTAGAATGGTTTGGGTTGGAAGGGACCTTAAAGACCATCTAGTTCCAACCCCCCTGCCATGGGCAGGGACACCTTCCACTAGACCAGGTTGCTCAAAGCCACATCCAGCCTGGCCTTGAACACTTCCAGGGATGGGGCATCCACAGCTTCTCTGGGCAACCTGTTCCAGTGCCTCACCCACCCTCGCCGGGAAGAATTTCTTCCTTGTATCCAATCTAAATCTGCCCTCTTTCAGTTTAAAGCTGTTATATCTTGTCCTGTCACTACAGGAAGCACTATGGAAGAATATTGTATCTTGTTTAGAACTTGCTGTAGAGAAAGATGCTTTGCCACCTAGGCTCCTGCGTGTGAAAGAGAAATGGGCTCCCGACAGAAGACCCTAATAACTGGGGAAAACAAGAATGTAGAGCTCTGTGACAATTCACTAGGCACGATCCTGTGACTACCCTCAACCACCAACCACCTGAGTGTGAAAAAGCAATACTTTATTCATTTGACTTGCCTTTTATTCCTCTTCCTCAGGGCAAATACACAAAGCAGCAAAGGATTAACCCACCTGAGAACAGTTTATTCAATCAGCTGATTTTTCAGTGTGCTGACAATGCTAAGAGAAAGCATGATTACAGCTGCTCATTTGAATGCGAATAGGACTGATCTCACTTTAACTGCAAAAATTATTTTTGTTTGGAATAATTACTTTAGATACTATTAGTATTATGTGATTCCATTCTTAGTATACAGACTAGTGACTTTCTATGCAAAGAACCCATACAATACAGAACTGCATACAAGTTTTTGTATACTTCTAAAGCTACACTGATTTCTATTTTCATAATGCTGGATACAATTAAGAAAAATGAGTGATGCTCTAAGTGTCACAGCCAGTATTTTGTGACCAGCACCACAAAAACTGATAAACATCTCATGTCAGCTGTATTATAGCGGGTGTATAGTGGAGCTTAAGTGTAGCACCTGCAAATCCAGGTAGTCCTACTAGTCTTGCATTCAAAGATGCTAAAAATAAATATTTATTTGCGACCATACTCAATCTCTAATTTAATCTTTCATCAGAAGATTTTGGACTTCAGTCTTTATGAAAAGAACCACTGTCTCAGGCCTGGAATTCACGTAAGCCCTCCTATACTGTAAAAACACTGGCTTTTCCTGCCTGTTTATCTTGGAGGAACTACAATACCTGATGGTAAATTTCCCAATTTTTGCATTCTTTTACCTCATACGGTATCTATGGGAAAGCATTCTGGCAAGTGAGATGTTGAGAACATCTACAAACTGAGCTATTTCCTCAGCCGCCCAGAGAATCTTTAAAGGGAAGATGGAGAGAGTGTTTTGTGCTCACAGCTGTGAACTTCAAAGATGAACTGAAGAAATTAATATTGAAAGGGCACAGTTGGAATATACAGACAAAGCATGACCAGCTGTCTTGACATTTCCACAAAGGAGACTCGTGCATCTCTCTCTTTTTTGAACTTTTCCTCAACTTCTTTACACTCAAACCAGCTGTCAGTCCCACAGGCTTCTTGGGTCTCGTGACCTCCTTGCAAAAGAGCCCTGAACAAAGCATCATCTCTTGACATTTTTTCACCCCCACACCCTCTCAGAAGGACACGCTCTTACTGCTCCAACCTTCTTGCATTAATCTTCCAAGGATGACAGGAAGATTAAATCCCCAAACTCCAAGTGGAGGAACACAGATGCTCTACAGAGCATTTATATGGCATTTAATGGTAACAATCTGCCCGAGGCTGAAAAACTGGATTCTCCTGCCTTTACCTGTGTAACTGGATCATTAATAAAAACCAGTTTATTACAATGTCATCAGTAAAAGTGTGTGTAATTTGCTTACCTAGATTGGCATACATCACAAACAGATTGAAATACTGCTGCAAATGGCGCCCATGTTCAGATACTTCCCTTCTTAGAAGATTTAGTACCGCTCTCAGTAAGTGATCACTTAAACTTAAGTTATCATAAGCCTATTAAAAAAAAAAAAAAAAGAAGTTTTTGTATTAGTGGTCGAACCTATCAAACCTTTAGTTTACACTTTCTACTACAGCAGAAAACAGAGTTGGTTAGAAGGTATGGGATTCATGCAAACTCCAAAATACCAGCAGCTGGTTAGTATTCTGCATCTCACACAAAGCAAGAACCATGTAGAGGGAATAAGGCTCCCATCACTAAATACTATTAAGTCCAAGATATTATGCAGCTACAGAAGCTTTTAATTGAACTTTCTCTCCAATAGCAGCTCGGCCTATATAATCAGAAAAGCACATGCAGCTCCACTGTGAACTTCACAGACCAAAACAACCAAATCACCTCTACAGGTGTATCTCAAATACCCCATGAAACAAAACACTGTCAAAGCGTACGTAACTTTAACTTAATACAAATTGTTCTGCTGGATACAGTAGTGAACACATTCTGAGAAGCCAAGTGGAACAATACCATAAAAAGTGTCTTACTGTAGACCTTAAAATAATGACAAAAAAAAGGCTCAAAAAGCCTTCTAAATTTTAGGATACAGTAGTGAACACATTCTGAGAAGCCAAGTGGAACAATACAATAAAAAGTGTCTTACTGTAGACCTTAAAATAATGACAAAAAGCTCAAAAAGCCTTTTAAATTTTAATGCAGCCCAGACACAAAACATTATTATGCCAAGAATTACATTAGGATTTCAGGGGTTGTTTTTGTTTTCTTTGTCTGTTCCAGGCATGTAAAATTAAGCAATTCACTGTCTACTCCTATGCAAAGCTACAGTTTGTGACAATTTCAATGTTCTGGGATACAGGGGAAGAAAACTTAGGAAAACTCCTACATGTTTTGTTTGTTTGTTGGTTTGTGTGTTTGTTTTAAATTCTAAATGAAAAAGAAGGGTCACTCCCCTTATTATAAGCCATAAGTCACTTTATTATAAGCCATTACTTTTATTTTGCAGATTTCACACTCGCCACTCCAAGTTCTCACTACCCAGTCTCCACAGAGGGGAAGACTGCAAATGAGGGGAAACTGAACCCCTCTGACAGCAACTCCCACACAAACTGGCTGAGTTACACCATGGTTTGTAGTGCAAAATGAACTGTACAGCTTTCCTGTCAACACTGATGCATCTACTCCAGAATTTACTGTTCATTAAATGCTTATAATGAGGAAGGAAGAATAAGTTTCAAAAGTTTTTCATTAGAAAAAGAAGTACCTGACTGGAAGGTCCAGGAGACGCAAAAGGTGAAGGACACGGTCCGTCTTGCAACGAAAAATGTGCAATAAATACTATAAGTTTTGCAAATGCACCCCTCACTTCTGCGCTAGGGCATTCCAGAAGATACTCAGAGAAGCGGTTTGAAACATTAAAAAGGACGTTGTGTGCAAACCAAAAGCGTACATTCTTGCTGTGACGAAGAAGGATGCATAATGCATCATACCTGAAATAGAGGATGACACAACTGAGAGATTATGACCAAATGCAGACATTCACAGATTTTGGCAGACGAGTTCTTTTGCAGAATTTGAAGAAAATACATGTGGAAGGGGATCCCTGAACATTTTTGCTCACAAAATGCTTACAATCAGATAAACTGTAGTTCCCATAGTGATACCCTATGTTACTAGCAATCACAAACTGAAAAGATACCTCAGTTAAAAAACTAACTTCTAACTGTAGCATTTTACTTCTATCACCCATAAGAACTAAGACAAGATTACATCCCCTAACTCCCAAACTACCATGCCAAGCAGGACCTAAATTGGCAGCCATCATCCCCTCTGTACCGGAACTTGGGGAGAGGGTGAGCAGCAGAGAACATGTGAGGTGGATTTCATGAACTATGTGTAAGACAGGTACCTAAGTATGTAATCTATCATGAACTTAAATTCTCATTTACAGATCTCAAAAAAGTCACCAAACCAAATCAAACCAAACCACAAAAAAACCCCCAAAGAGTAAAATATCTGTTCCAGAAAGGGTTCTGTATGACTCTGTCCTCTTTCCTGCAGCAATATATGAACTCCTCTTGATCTCCTTGGATAAATAGAGTAACTTAGCTACTCTGGAAGTTGGTATTAGAGAAAAACCTGAGGTACGTATCTGCCATGTATTACACAACTACTCACTAGTAGCTGGTAAACTACTGGTCGTCATGATTACTAGATTTTCTCTCTAGTTCCACCAGTAGTAACCGACACACCCCAACACCGAATAAGCTAGCTTAAAGAATAAAATGCTGTGGTGCTACAAATAAGACTGTACTGTTTGCTATACTACGGATTGGAATTACAGGCCCCGTAGTAATGTACATAAAGCACTCTTCTACCAGAGTCTGAGAGATTATACAGGTTGCAGAAACAAAATACAAATGGAAGCTGCAAAAATGGCATGAAGAGAGCTTTGTTTAAAACTACTCAAGCCATGAATAAACCTTCTGAACTGGGAAGAATACATAACCTAGTAAGTTTTGCACTAGCGATTCTGTTCCTTTACTCTTTTCAGCAGACAGACAAAAGGTAGGTTTAAGCTCTGTTTGAAAATGAATTTTGAAGCTGTTCTACTGAGCAGCTTACTTTAAGGCTCAGATTCTTCACAGTATTTTCTTGTTCAAATTCCCTCCCCTTTTCATGTGTACCTCAACCACATGTTTGGGGGAGGGGAGAAAATGGGACAGACGCTAACATCTTTTATTACTAATGTATATGTAACTGGGATCTTTTAAGAGACATCAAACTTCCAAAATTGTTAAAAGACATGATACCAATCACTAGCAGGGCCACGGACTATTTTCTTTGTATGAAATCCTGTGGTGAAGAGAAATCTAGCAGCAAGCTGAATACTAATCATAGTTATTTCTTCTGCTTCAGGCAACAGATGATCTTGTCCTAGAGAAAAATCAAAATACTCATATGTAGACAAAGTCAAAGAATTTTACTTTTAGTAACTTAACTGATTCCAGACTACTATTTTGAACAACATTGTGTTCTGGCTTCAACAAGAAACTTAAGCAAAACAGCCTCTGGCTTCTAACATTTGAAAATGTAAGCTTTAAGACAAGACAGGTACCTGGAGCCTAACATATGTCTGATTTTTAGAATTTCAGCATCTCACCTTTGAGGACTGTCTTCAGCAGAACAACCCACAAACTGAAGTATTTTAACATGACTGAGTACATAAGCTGAATAATAGCTGGTAGTTTATCAAAGTATTGTTTGCTAAATATTCTGGCACGTTAGCACTGACGAAAAACTCAACAACGGATGTTTAACTGCAGAAGTCCAGAAAGACAGAGTATGCAAAGCAGAACGCACAACATTCTCACCAGCTAGACAAATTCTTGACAACACAAATCAAAAACCTTCTTTCAAGACATTAACCCATGATTACTGTCCTAGCACACTAACCTGGAGGAGGGTTTAAGTAGACACTGTTACAAGTAAGCAACTTCTTTATGAACTGGAAATATTCAAGGCTGTACTGCATACGGTTATGCATGAACTGCACGTTCTGCTTCCGTACGCTTCGTTCAATGGCTGATGGCATTTTAATCTGATGGGGTTTAGTGGTGATAGCGAGTTCTGAAATATATTTGATTAGTTCATTGTCTTTGTCTATTGTGTCCATACGTTCATAAAAAAGAATGTAAGCATTCCACCACCTCTTCTGGCGTCTGTAGGACATACGCTTCATCATGTGATCAAATACTTCTCCCATGTATTCTCCACCAAAACACTGATTTTTCATTTCTTCATCATCATCCATTTTACACTCTGTCACATCTCCATCGTCAAACTTATACCACCGATTTTTCTCACCATCTCCACCATTCCTCTGGATAATGTACGAGTAATAATGTCCACCACTGGCCTGGCCACTGTGTACAAGGACACCAACGAGCCTGTATTTTGTGCTCCCAGAGTGTTCGTTTTCAGACTGTTCATTTTGTATTATCTGGTTTTCAGGATTTACATCATCTCCTTCCAATTTAGCGACACCTGCCACAGTGTAAGGCTCCATGTCCAGCTCTCGTGGAAATTCAAAATAATCATTGAACTTGATTGCACATTCCCTTTCCCAGTCGTAATCAAATCGTTTCAGCTGGATTGCAAGAACTGGAGGCAACTTCTTAATCAACAAGCGTTTCACTGTATCAACCTAAAAAAGGACACCAGCAGTTATCAGCTCTTAGGCTTCCATTCATATACCCTTACTAACAACTGAAAGCACTAATTAAAGGATAACTTTTTTCCCCTGAACAGGACCTAAGGCAGGAATTAGTACAGCTGTAAATCACAGCTGTACACAAATTTAATATATAAGGAATCATTACCTTTTTGTTGCATTTTTCACAATGATATGCATTTGCACCTTCCAATAAATCTCCTTTGACGTACTGTTCCAAAGAATCAAGAAGGTTTTGGTGATTTCTTATATCTACATTCAGAGTTGTGAAGGATTCCTCGCATTCGTACCTACCAATGAACAGACAGACGTTAAGAGAAAGGTAGAAACATGTTTCACTTGTATGTTTTGCAGGTGCTACCAGCACCTTACTGCACAAGTTTTAACCAGCATTTGATGTCAGCTTCTGGCAAAAGGAGCTGAGCAATGCAAACAGAACTGAACTCTTATTGCAGTCTTCCTGCAATTACATGAGAGTACCTGTACATTGTACTTTTTGATCTGCACTAGCTGTAGTTATTTTATGAAGATCATAGAAATGACTTGTATGTCTCAAGTTCACTGAAAAGATTGTGGTAGTTGAACGTTTTAGCACATCTCTATTTTAAAGCAGCTGAAGCAGCATGATGGCCTCTTGGCTAACTTAGGCTACCGGAGCAGCACAGATACCAAAGCAGAGTACTTTTTCTATTGCTGACCTTTACTTCATGAAGCAGGTTAATAAACACAAATACTGGATCATATCTAAAGACAATAGTTCAAAACAGATTAAAAAAACCAAAAAAGGTGCTGAAAAAAACCCTCAACAGCTGTTTTCATAAAATCACTCTGTGTATTTATGACTGGCTTTGACTTACTGTGTTCTGATATAACCTTCAAACAAATTCCTAGCAGAGAACCAGTAATGCTTGTGACAACAGGTTAAGACATCTTGGATACTTTTTTTTTTAAAAAGATAAAGTGATGAATAAATTAAAAAAGTTGCATCTATTTCAACATAATCCTGCAGTACTTGTTTCTCTGTTATGCAATCAAGCATACAAAGGGTTTTAGAACAGTGAATAAATTAGTATTTAGAAACACTTCAACCAAAACATTAATATTCCTTCATCTATTAAATAACTTTATAAATTTAGAAAGGCTGTTAATCTGTCATAAAAAAATCCCATAGTTTAGTTTATCATCAGTTTTCTCCTCCCTAAACTACAACCAGGGAACATATTTACTAAGCAGTACAATTATGCAAATCCAGCAGACTTCCAAAAAGACAGCTAATACTTCAGGATAGTACATAATATCGGGAATGAATGGTAACTTGCATTGCTTCACACCTCTATCTTTCATTTAATTACCCAGTGCATACAAAATAAAATCAGTGCTTTCATTTTATCTTGTAATATTTCCACTTACTTCCGGTCACACGTTTTAACCCACGAAACTTAAGATGTCCCACTTACAAGTTCTTCTAATTCACACATGAGCTCAACTGAAGTTGAAAGATTACCACAGTAAAATCAGTTTGTATCAGTGTTTTTTCTTGTATTTTAACTACTAATCAAAGGATAACAGTACATGGCCAGCTTTCACAATAAACAGCATTTGCATTGGTAAGGTGCAGAGAGATCTCTATCATTTAAGAACCACACATGATTTGAAAGACGTAGTGAACAGTAAGAAGGCCAACTGTTACTCACAGGAAATTTAACAGAGTAATAAAAAAAGCCAGGTGTTCAAAAAAGAGCAAGTCCATCATTAGGTCATCTTGAATCCTGCATGCAATTTTCATCATCCACCTCAAAAGGGGTATAGAAGAAAGTCTAGAGAAGTACAACTGCACAATGCCTGCTTCTATTGCTTCATCGAGCATGTCGCTCATCACCATCATCCAGAGAGCACGCTGCACATTTCCGGTCTGAGTTGGTATGGGTGGGTATTTACATACCCTGTCTCAAGCTGAATTTCAGTACTCCCATTTTAAGTTGATTGAAAATACAGTGGAAATCTTTCTCCTTAATTGCATCTTACATAGTGGAATTAAAGATGCGTACTTGGGTCAGCTCTATCCATACACTATGCAACAGCTGTTGGCCATGTCTTCAAATTTTATACACTTCATTTGGTTTTCACTTTTAACATGAAAAGGCTGGGGTTTTTCCGCCCCAATCAATACACAATGCTTCACATACAATCTGCTAATTATTATTGCAGAAGCCATAATAATCAAGTATTTCAAGGCACCTGAAGACAAATTAAAGCTGTAGAAAAAACAAGGTAGCAAATTCTACTAGCTTTTTAAAAAACCCCCACCAAAACCCCCACTCTTTCACTCTTTAGTCACTTTTCTCAAGGGTACAAACACCGGTTGTTTTACTCTTAAAACACTTACCGATGTGGGCATCCTTGACAAATCTTCTGATCAGCAAAGGACCCTCCTAAAACTTTACTTAACATTGCTGGATGGCCCAAAGCTTTTAAAGCTTCATCTAAACTGTCCACCAAGGAATTAAAAAATTCTAAAGCGTCATGTTGTTCACGGAGATTTACAGGTTCACCCCACAGTCTGAAAACAAAAGCACATTCTTGTCAAATACTTTTTGTTTTGTTCTCCAACAATTTATTTTCTAAAAATGTACTATTCAATCTATCAATCCCTCTTTCTTACTGAGCAAAGCTATTGGTCTGTGATGTACTATACCACCTGTTACTCTATCCCTGACACTTATTACTGGTAAGTAAAAACAACCTTCTGTGTATAGCTTCATCCTTAATTCTAAGTTCCAATATCAAGGTCAAGAACTGCTGGAATTCAAAATAAACATCTTGCTGTAAACTTTGATCTAACAACAGACTTCTACAGAATGATGTAAAGAGAGGATAACAGATATAACATTGCACAAGTTCTGCTAATTTACACTTAACATTGTTATCATTTCTTCTACTACGATTAGTTTTGTTGCATTTCAGTGGTCCAGTGAACAGATCATCAAGGCAAAATTTTCTGTTTACCTAAATTGTTTCCAAAACCCTCTTGGTACATAGTACTGTAGCCTGGAAGCTGCTAAATGACCAAAAATTACTTGGAGGTGCCTCAGAACTCCAATGTTGTACTCTTTTCTGTCTTCTGTTTTACTCAGTGCTGGTTTGTCTTCATACTGATGCGGATAACCAAACACATCATCTCGAGGGTCAACATTGCTCTGAAAAGCAGAAGAAAATGTGTGTAATTAACTTTGGCATATGTGGCTACCTCATGGCTAGTTGTAACCCCTGTTTAATTTAACAATCTAAGGCGTTTTGGTACTCTCATCTGAAGAAACAAATCACGTCTTTGTATGCACTAATGAAGTTCTGATGGCAGAAATGGTGTCCGGTGCTTTCAGGTACAAATCCATGAGCGGGAAGTCTGCAAACCCTGCTACTTGGATCTTCTGAACTCTCTCTCTGGCAGAGAGCCTATTCAAATAAGAAACATTATGCTACTGTCCCCACTGCTAGCAGGGGAAAGCCAGATTTGTCAAAACCTTTTCATAAAAAAGAATTCCACTTTAAAGATAAGCAAGCTCTACGTAATTAAATTTACCTCATTGTCCTGCTTTTCATCCCCAGACATGTCATCATCTACATCACTGCCTGTGCCTTCAATTGCAAGAATTCCATTCCTGATGGCTGGAATCATGTACAGCTGCTGAATGACAGAATTCATGTAACAAGTGGCACCAGCATTTTTTAGTCCTACAAACCCCTTTGGTGGTCGAGGCCCAACAGGTGGTAGATATTCCCATTCTGTAAGAGCTTCACAAGCTGAAAGAAAGCAGCAGAATGTGATTAGGAGACTATTTTGTTATAAAAGAATTAGACCATTAATGCAGTACAAAGAGCAGTTGCACAGAATTAGCATTAGTCTGTATCACAGTGCAGTTTAATAAAACAAATATTCCATCAGAAAATTTAATTGCTAAAATTAACAATCCTTATCTGAATGATATTTTTATCTGTAATCTTAACATTATGCTGGTTTCTTCTAATACATAACTAAAAAGGGGCCAGACAAAATTCAGTCTATGTACCAAACAGAAGTCTACCCTCAATACCAGCAGCTTTCCTAGCTGAAGAGTTCAGCTGAACAAACCCAGAATACATAACTGATCTACAAGCCTTTCACAAATTTATTACCCTTCTAAAATTACAGTATTTCACTTATGCCTCACTCTTCCTTGCCAGGATGGAAAACAGTTTTTAGGTATGCTATCTACGACTTGTGATTTTTTCGCCAAGTCTTCTCGCATCTCTTCAGAGTAGACTTAATGACCACAGGTTTCCTATGCTAACCTGTTGTTCTGTGGTTTTAACACAAAAAATTCATATGTAAAAGGAAGTAAGACAGCATGAATGTTTATAAGCAAGCTTTTCTTGGTATATGAAACACACAGCATGCACAGTTCATAGATGTGTTCTCTGTCTGATGTACGACCGAGATTTAGACTTCCATCAAGCTTATCAAATATTTGAGCAGATAAAAATCCTTCTAATTGTGAGGTGATAAGAGATACTCTACTTCCGAATAGAAACAGGTGAAAATAAAAGGATGATGCAGAGGGAAAAACCATAGAAGCCCTTTCTATTTGTTAATTTGAGATGGAATCAAACAGAAAGAGATTGAAAAACCAACTCAAGTGACTCACTGATACCACCAAGTGGGCAAGTAGCACTGCCATTTTGAGAAGCCAAAGACATTTCCTGCTATGGGAAGTGCATATCGTTTTGCTAAACTGTACGAGTTTAAACATTCTGAAAGATCACAGAATGGTTTGGGTTGGGAGGGACCTTAAAGACCACCTAGTTCCAAACCCCTGCCATGGGCAGGGACACCTTCCACTAGACCAGGTTGCTCAAAGCCTCATCCAGCCTGGCCTTGACCACTTCCAGGGATGGGCCATCCACAGCTTCTCTGGGCAACCTGTGCCAGTGCCTCACCACCCTCTCCGGGAAGAACCTCTTCCTGATATCTAATCTAAATTTACTCTCTTTCAGTTTAGAAGCATTGCCCCTTTTCCTGTCTCTACAGGACCTGGTAAAATGCCTGTCATCACACCTTTCTTATAAGCACCTTTTATATATTGAAAAGCCACAATAAGATCTCCACAGAGCCTTCTCTTCTCCAGGCTGAAGAACCCCAGCTCTCTCAGTCTTTCTTCCCATATAAGCTCAAGTTTGGTCCCCTTGCCCCTTCTTTCCCTGTTAATATTACAGCTGAAATGGTTTAACTATGCCATTTAGGGTTGCAGAAAATATGTTCCTGTTTGTTAATTTTCAAGAAAGCTTTACATGCTTTTTATTGATAACAAAATCAGTGCTAGGTGTGTGCCTTTTGCCATCCTTATGAAAACCACCCCAAGTTTCATCTGTCTATCAGCTTCTGAAACACTGAACACAGTCGTAAGTCTTTTTACATACTACAACTGCTGTCATCTTTCTCCAGTGAGAAGCAGCAAATTAAGTGCAGTGCGGTGCTGAGACAAGGCCAACACTGAGAGAACAAATGTTTGAGAAAGGACTATGACAAGCAGAGAACAAGTATGGAACGAAAAAGGGCAACTGGACAGTGGACCTGTGTCTGTGTGCTGACAGTGATGACAGATTAGGTGAGCAACCAAGAGACCAGCACTAAAACTGAGCTGAAGATACCTGATGAGGTTCTGGGATTGGTTAGGCAGAGCCTGAAACGATGAGACAACAGCAGAAGATAAAGACAGAATGAGGTTCCTGGGAGCTGGCAGGGACAAAGGGGAGTAGCCAGAGATCAGGACAGGAAGGGTCAGACTATGTAAATGACTGGGGCTGGAACCTGGATGCAACCATATCATGCAAGTCAGTACATCACTGCATAAAGAACAAATAACGGCTACACTAACAAACTTCTTTCAATTCTGACAGCCTAATTTTGCAACATTAGAAGTTGCCACAAACAAATCACAAGCTAAAAACCCCAGCATCTATTTCAATGGACAATATAAACAAAGCCTATATATAATATATACATTAAAAAGTAGAAAAGAGATAATTAAAAATATTACATACTAGTGATTGCTGTACCTATGTAATACATCTCAGTCAAGGTGTCTACTATCTGTTTCAGATTTCGGACACATCCAACTGCTAGTGCAACTAGGAGCTCAAAGCCAGCATTAATAGTAGCTGGTGAACTACAGACTGGTATGGCCTGCTCAGCAGGCAATTCTCCATTTCTCATGTATTGTAGATAAACATTGGATGCTGGAAAGATGAAATCATCTATCAACTCCTGAAAAAAAGAATAATAAAAATTTGCCTGTTACCACAGAAATGCACACATAAGAGTTGTTATATAAATGAGTGTCTGAGAATGACAGTACTTAAAAAACCCAAGAGTTAAAACTGAGACCAACACCATAATGAGCTTTTAAATTTAGAACAGACTAACTCCTCCCTGAAGTGGTTCCTGCAAACCCACCCCCCCACTGCAAGTTAAAAATAAATCTGTATTATTGATTGATAACAGTTTTCTTTTGCCAAAACAGCATTATCTACAAATCTCTTTATCAATCAGTGCTGAAAAAAACCAATGTTGCTGCTGTATAATATCAAAGGTACAAAGAAAACGCATCTGACTGAAAACACGCTCAGATGTCATGCATTTGTTCAAAACTGCCATAAACATTAATAGCACTAATTAAGAACACAAGGATAAAAGAAAATCCAGGGGTAATGAATGAAAGCAGTCCTGTGCAGGACTATCCTGTACCTAGCTCAGTATCCTTGTGTGAAGTTTGCTAAATCTTGGAATAACAGCTCACTAGGTCACAGCGACTCCATATGGAACGGTTCCAAAGAATGAGAACATTAAGTACTGTTATGAATGAAATATGTACTTTTTAAAAAAGTTAGTTTTAGAGAAAACATTGAACTCTAATTAGAAGCTGCTGTCAAACAGTTAAATTGGACCTTTTATGGTTACAGATCACAAGATGCAAAGCTTCTTTTCACCTATTAATAGTGGGAAAAAAGAAATAATCAAAAAGCCCCATAGGTCAAAAAACTTGAACTTACTTTAATGAGATTAGCACCTCCTTTTTCACAACCAATATGGTATTTCTTCTCAGGTGTCTGGAATGCTAACAACTCCTTTGTTACTCCAAGGTGACCCTCTAAGATCGTTTCTTCAACGCCTGTTTCTCCTGTTCTTTTTACTTCATCCTGCCATGTAAGAGAAAGTTAGGATACTCTAAATAACATACATTTCCAAGCTCAAAACTGTACTTTTCAACAAAGTAGCAAAAAGCTGTTTATCAGAAATAAACTGATCCTAAAACTTACCCTAATCCTCTTAAGCCAGTCAATTTCATTATTGAGAAGAACTTCAGCATTGGGTACATTAATGTTACTGTTGTAAGCATAGTTAAGAAGATGTCTTAAGAGAGTGAAGTAGTCTCCAGAATGCTTAGCTCTCTCTCTTGCAGTGCTCTATATAAACCAAACACCAAATTATATATGTCACACACAATTCTACTCACAGTTCAACACTAACATATTTTCCCTAAACTTGGCAGTAAATCGGGGGGGGTGAGGTGGGGGTGGGGAAGAAGTGTAAGATAATTTTCAGCTTTTCAGGAGTTTACAATTTTATTTAGCTGCTCATGAATGACTTCTGGACTATTTCAGTAGCAATTGCTATACCTGAATGGGAAACAAACGGTGAAGTGATCAAATGTTCAAGAGAGCCATAAGCTTGCTGAATTGCAAAGCCCTGGCAGGCCCAGTAAAAGGCAGCAACAACTGTAGGTATCGATCTAATCTGCTCATGATTTTCACTTGAAGGTTAGCATTCACTAAAGATCAAATGCATATATTATAACTTACTGTTCATGTTCTTATCAGAAAATGCAAAACAGTCCTTTTCCCCTTCATCTAACTCAAATTGAAATCGACTGTGTTGCTTGCCTGTAGGTCAACAGGAATCTGTGTGGTAGTGACTGTTAATAGCAATTTGCCTTTTCTTGTAGCTATGTTGTATTATCATTTCTTACAGAAATTCACACTGCACTGAAGCTTTACCTCTAAAAACTTACCCCTAGAACAGTAAATAGCAGGGTAATGAAGAAAAGGAGGGGTCTCTGTCCCATGCAACACCTGGTAGCCATTAAAAAGAATTGCTCCTGTGCCATCTGACGAACAGTTCTGGAAATCATTTAATAGGAACATTAAATACAATTTCCCTATCCAATAAGGACATTAAAAAAACCCAATTAAAATTGTGCTTATCTGCTTAATGCCATTTTCTAAAACTGCACATAACGTAATAAATAGGAATACTCTAATTATTTACTACCCATCATACTGTTTCTCCTCACTGTGAAATTTTAGACACATGAATTCCTATTACAAAACCTGTTCCTCAAATCAAATATTTAAAGGTAAAATTAAAAAAAAAACACCTTATCATCACCTAGCACTAAACCTGTACAACTTACAGCAAATATTGCATAACGTAGCAAGCAATTTGCAACCTTAAATAAATTCTTTTTTTCCTAATCAAGCACCAGTTATGCCTGAAAGACAAAACAGAACTACCATAATAAAACTGCCCTTATGTATCACTACAGCTGTTTACTGAGCACCCATGAAGTCATCAATATTTATTATTAGCAAGAAATGAGAAAAGATGACACTCCTCCCTGAAAATTCAAGTGGCTAAAATGAAAGGAAATTCTCCATCTAAGAACTTAATCTAACCACTGGAATAATGTGTGAATGAATAACCTTAAGGAAAAAAACAATGTAAGGCAAGCCCAATACTTTCAATTTGTAAGGCTGTGTGAGCATAGTCTTGTAAAACTTGTTAGAAACAACTCTGCTTGAGTGGGGAGAGAATACAAATGAATGCTGTGCTTCATGAAATGTATCTCAACATACAAGAAACTGAATTTCACAGGGTCTTTTTGGCGTGGCTGTCACTGTTTTCTGCTCACGAGGTCACTGTGGCAAGCACACGAAAGAATCCTATTACCTTACGAGTTCTTCCACGTGCGGTTAACTGTGTTTCAGAGACATGCAAGAATGACCATGAGGTCAGAGCAAAGACGGACCTAGCTGAGCACCCCGTCTCTGCTGCACACCCTAGGAAAGTGCTCAGGAAGAGGGAAGCATGCAGTGACGCTTCTCCAGAATCTTCTCTCAGCTTCTAACAATTTGTGGTTCAGAAGACTACAAGAAGCAGTATTTCATAGCCCTCACTGGACAAATCCATGAAAGAAGCCCTCAAACTATTTCCAAACTGAAGCTTTACGCTGCTTCAATGTTATGGCTCAAGAAGTTCTTGTACAAAGAAACACTGTTCTCTATTTATTCTCCCTTTGCTACTCCTGATTTTAAAGGACTCTGTGGTATTCCCCTCCCATCATTTATCTCTTCTCCAATGCAAAGTTCCCTAAGCAATCCAGCTGTTCCTCAGATGGAAGTAATTTCAGAGCTTTGATCTCCCTTGTCACCCTTCTCTGATCTGTGCAAGTTCTACTACATCGCCTTGATTTGCAGAAGACCAACGGGATGGAGGGGGTCTGTTTTGTTCTTAATAATTATCGACATTTTATGGGATCTGATTGTGGAACTGGAAATTTCTCAGAGAAATTTGTTGTAAGACACAACTCTTCAGCTGCTCGGGACACATCAGACAGACACCCCCTAGGTTCATGCACTCAACGGCAGAATGAAACAGATACGAGTGGTATTTTCCTGAAGTGGGAAATGTGACCAAGGAAACACGTACCTTACACTGTTTTATCTTTAAGGACTATGCAGTACTTGAATGCAAGTATTATATTTTTGTGAGGCTATAACCATCTAAGGGAGCTTAAGGAACCACGGAAGGGTGCAGCTGCCTAAATGCAGGTGTCGAGCGCCACGTTAGACACCATAGCAAAAGCGTAGAGCTGGCAGATAGGACACGAACTGCATGAGGAACTCACACTCACCTGGTGAAACAGCTGGAGGCCAAATGCCTCCATTATGGCAGGCAACCTGAATGCCCTCCTACTGATAGCTCCAGGATACCAACTGCTGTTTAGTAACAGAAGTCTGCCTCTTCAATGGCTGTAAGTGCCACTGCTTGACACAGGCAGTAAGAATTTTTATTTATGCGGGACAGCTATGTATGGCCACCAAACGCTCTGCAGCCATCAGTGGGTGCCAGGATCATTCAGGACTAACTGTTCAGCTATCTACTCTTGATGAAGCCAGTCTTGAATTCAGGGGTCACCACTATGAAATCAATTACCATGGAGAGCAAGAATTGCTCTTGTATTTAGCACTAAATATTTTTATTCCATTTCTCAGTTTATAGGTAGCATGGTTAAGCTACGAAGAAACAGCAGAAGTTCCATACAACCTCAATCTCTGAACAAAACAAACACAACCCCACCAATCCGTCTGATCTTTTCCAGAAAGATCATACTTGTAAGATCTGAACTTGATCCATCTTCTTTGTCTTTTATGGTGCAGCAAAACCATTTTCTCACATGCATATTTTTGCTCACATTGTTCTCAGATTGAGGATGGGAGATTAGAGAACAATAGTGGAAAATGGAAGGATATTCAGAATTCTGTCTGGTATTGGCTAAGCTTTCTCTGCACTGCAAACACTAACTTGTTACATTAATTCCGAAGAGGAACTTTTTTTCAAGCTTCATTCAACTTCACCATCTTCATTTTCAGAAGTCTTCCATTTCCAGTCATGTTTATGCTATTCTAATCATCATGTAATAATGAACAGTTGCACTGCAAGATTATCATGTATATCAGAAGTTTCACAAGCATATGAGAGAAAAGAGCTCCATGTTAGCTTCTTGTACTGACAGAATGTGGTGAAGAAAGAAAGAAGAGAGAAGGAGCTGTCAACAAAGCTCAAATCAGCAAGAATAACCATTGGAAAAGACTAGCAAAACCATGAGAGATTTCTCATCTGATAATCAAGACTACAGGTTTTGCTACAAAGACATTCTACCTCCATCACAAACTGTGTTAGATGGAACTGGTGCTAAGAGTGGTAATAACTGTTGATACCAACACTAACTGAAATATAAACAAATGCTAGTGAACACTTGACAAACATCACTTAAATTCAAAATACAATGCCTGAAAGTCAGATTACTACAGTGAAATTTATTGTAACAATTATCACCCATTACAGAATCACTAAGGTTGGAAAAGACCTATAAGATCATCTAGTCCAACCATCAACCCAACACTACCATACCCACTAGACCACGTCCTCAAGCACCAGGTCCTCAAGAATCATGTCTACACGATCCTTTAACACCTCCAGGGATGGTGACTCCACCCCTTTCCTGGGCAGCCTGTTCCAGTGCCTGACCACTCTTTCAGTGAAGAAGTTTTTCCTAATATCCAATCTA